ACGAAACCGTACGGCTGTGGAGAACTAAACTGCGCGCCTCGAACTCGGTGGGCAACAAACGATTTCCGTCCCTCACTCAGTCCGAATATTTAGAATACTTCGGTTTACTCTTCCGGTTCGCGTGATCTCCCTCGAGCCTCATCGCTTCGCATCGTTTCTCATGGGATCACTCGATGAAAAGGCATTTCGCGAGGGGTAGTGCCGCCGCGCCGCCGTGTCGTGGAGAACGAGTTCTTTGAACCGGCGATATCATTAATCAACGGAGCGCATTAACTCGTCAATTTCACAAGATCGAAGGCCGCGATACGTTGATGCAACTCGATATTCGTGGTCCAGATAAAAGAAGTTTTCAAAAATTATCTTCTCGAAAAAGAAAGAGGTTTCTATTGACCGCGGTTCTTCATTTTCTTCATTACGGTTACGACTTTGGAAGAATTGTATCTAAATTACTGATGCAAGATGCATAACAAGAACGTAATTTGCCGAAAGTAATACCGCTAGAATCTTTTTTTTATCTTGAATTTCTGAATGCGGTCACAACTTTGAGTAGTGCACGTTGACCGGCGTGTTCAGGTATTGTTTCACTCATGTGTGTGGATCTACAGTGCAACAGCTTCCAATATTCGTCTGCACATTGCACGTTTAATATTGTCAAGTATGTAAATAAGTTGCTGTTTAATATCCTTTACATATGCCACGTAGTTTACTTTTAGGCATAGCAATTGCACTCACCGCGCGCCTACGTGTTCACGAAATAGTATCTATTCGTTGAGAAAAAAAGGCCCGAGGTTGTACAACGTGAAAGCCCGCGCGCGTCTGGTAAGACCCAAAGACTGCGCGAGGCCTCTCCTCAAATATTAGCGGAGGTTGCCGGGGTCTCCCTTTGAATCAGAATCCCCGAAATTTCTATAGCAAATAATCGGAGACAGCTGGCTCGATGCGAAATCAAGTAGCGTAATAATGCCCGAGACTCCACGACGGGGAAAATAAAGCGAGAAAGGAAGTCGCGGCGGTTCCATTCAATTCGTGGACGTCCTCGCGCTTTCTTCCGTCGCCCGTGTGTCAGTTACGTGGGAGTAAAATTAAATAAACTTTTACTTTTATGGCCTATGCAATATCTACACCTGCTTGCGTATTTATTATTTACTTTACGTAATCTTTCGCGATTATCACATGACGGAAGTTTCGACTATTCTCAAAATTCAAAGATTGCGTTTATTGTTAATTCGCAATTTTCTCAGTTGTGCTCCTCGACACAAAAATAACATTAACAACGAAATAGCAAACGTTGTCCTAATAGCATTCAATAAATCTACCCCAATTAAATTTTTCTCAGTGCGTAACGACCGCAGGTCGATATGTTTATTTTCAATCCGCACTTTCTTATCTATTTTATTACTGTACATCGCGATGACACAAAATAAAAATGTATTTTTCCCCCAGTTATTTCAATGCAAGCCATTTCAATATATAATAACGAAATAACTTTTAAATAAAATGCACGTAATAAATTTACAAGTGTATATTTAGTAAACTCCTTGAAAAAATGTTCGGCAATAATATAAAATGATAAATGTCATTCAACTTTTCCATTATTAGCATTTTTCAGAATTTTATAAATTCTTGATGCATTTCGATTAGTTATTTAGTTTATTTTGTTTTATATTATGGATATCTAGGCTTGAGTAAAATTTCAAGTTGCTAATATCAAATCTATTTCCGCGAAAAATGTTTTTAATTTTGACTTCCTACTCCCTTTTTCTCTTTCTAGTGCGATAGGAATATTGATTGCAGCAATGATATAATAGATTGGTCGTACGAAAGAACGCCTTCTTTATTTAAATTGTTCAATTTTAACAAAGTTGCCGTACACATCGTACAATTGCGTTTAACACCCGACGGCGAACACTCGTTTGCTAATTCAATAATGTTCCGCGCGCGAAATTTTATTCCACTTTAGCTTGCAATAAAATTCGCGTAAAATAAAAGCGGATACTTAACACACTTGCCGTGTGTAACCGGGGCGGATCGGTCAATAAAGCGATATCAAGTTTTTTGGCCGGTCGTATCTCAATTCTTGGCAATTAACGTTGTGACGTGTCGTTCCGGTTTAACAACGGCGAAATGATATAGGATACTCGATAAATATGCTAATCGCGGTTTCGCGCACTTTTAACATTCTCCATTCAGCGGCTGTACATTTATGTTGCTTTAGTATCAGCTGCCCTCTCAATATTCAATGAGACATTTTAATACGCGATGCGTGGACAAAACGTTGCCGAAGCTGCTCTCGATACAGAAATGACTTTAACATAAGTCATGGAATAACGAAACTTGACGTACGACAAACATAACACACTACTATAATTTAAAAATTAAATTAATTTAAAGATATCCCGAAAAAAATCCCTTTCAGGGAAGCGTTTCCATGTCTCCCACGTGACTCTACCTTTTTAATATTAATTTCTGTTAATATATAATCGAATGTAGGGCAAGAGATAAAACTTCGTACAGAAGTAAGGGCCTGAGCAGAATGGCTGTCTTGTATCCTTAAGTCATAAGACAGTTATTGTGCGTTACTTTAAGACAAAGATTTAAAACATGAAACATTGTCTTAAAAGTACAAGACTGCCATTCTGCTCAGGTCCTAAGTTATCATTTTCTTGGAAGACCATTTTAGTGTCAATTATCCAATGCCAATATTTTCAAGAATATTTTGGTCCATCGCTGTATGGGTACAGTATTGGCATTCTTCAATGTTTGTCCGAGTTACGTGAACTCATCGCCTTCCCGTCGCCGTTATATAATCTAGCCGTTCTAATCCGAAGAATCGTACGGTAGGGCGTAGCGACTATCGAGGCGGCTTATACCGCGGGTGAGTATTCGACGATACAATGAATAAACAACGAAGCCGCGCGCGGTCGAGTGAACTCCATGAACGAGGCCTTATTGGGATATTAATCGCCGTAGCAGGCGAACGCTCCGCTCTCGGAGTGTTTGCACGAGGTTTGAAGAGGCTGCAACACCAAAGCTGCCTTGGCTTGCTCTGCCCTCCGCTCCTCACCGCACTTTGAAGCACAACGAAACGCCCTTCGCGAGACCCCGCTACCGTGCCGCGCGGTGCTCGAAGGCCCTAAGTACTCGCTCGAATACACGGATGCCTCGGACGCACGCTTGAACGCGAGGTACTTAGGTAGTAGCGCATAGGTCGGGCAGGCGGGCGGGCGAAAGAATCCTCGAAAATAATGGCTGTCGATGGCACAAGCACCGTGTTTATAAAACATGGACGGGGCGAGCTAATTGTTCGTTAATTTCCAGTGGCACTTACCGCACTGTTACTGCTTCGACATGCATTTGTTTGCATCGTGCGCGTTGTTTTGGCTACGCAAATTGTTGCGCCCTATCGCGATAATCGTCGAGGCGCTTTTGAATGCTAAATGTTTTTATCGCCAGCACGACACGCCCGTGTAGGTATAATACACGCGCACATCTGAATTGTAGCGGGAAGAAGAGGCAGATTGCGCTATGTTTGTATAGCGCAAATGGCCGATGTAGTTGTCGGTTAATGTCATGTTACTCGCATCGACATTCTTCTGAAAGACGCTCGTTAAAAAGCAAATTTTAATCCAATCGAGCTAACTGTGTTGTGTGCGGAGTATAAGAAAGGTAATAGAACAAGAGCTAAAATTTTATAGTATTATAGATGGTTAATGTCACGTTACTCGCATCGACGTTCTTCTGAAAGACGCTTGTTGAAAAGTAAATTTGAATCTAATCGAGTTAACTGTGTTGAGGGTGAATATCAGAAAAGTAACAGAACAAGAGCTAAAATTTTATTGTACACTATTGCAGATGCAATAAAAATTGCAGTATTTGAACAATCTGACAATGAAAGAGAGAGAGAGAGAGAGAGAGAGAGAGAGAGAGAATTGTGGAATCACCAATTTCTACATTGCAAATGTTTAAACTTGAATTTTGTGTCAAGTTTTTACTCGTAATACTTTCTTTTATTAGAAATATTTGTTTTGTCACTCATGAAAGTTGTGAGAAATTAAGACACATGAAATCTACAACAAATGTGCACTGACTTAACATGGTTACTTTTTACTCTTGAACTTTGGCAGTCTGCTATATTTACAAAAGTAATTAAGATTTACGAATAAACAATTCACTGTTTTATTAGAAGCTAATTGAGTCTCGCTATTGCGTGCATCGTTGTTTATTTTCCCGTCTTCTTTGGATATATTTGGTTATTGCACGCGACACATTCCACTTTCAGTTTTCAGTGCGAGAGAACGGAACCGCGACGCGTCGCGACGCGACGGGCGTTTTAATCCATTTAATACCCTCTGGATGCAGAAAAGCGGTATATATCTTCGCTTTATCTGTTCGTGTAATCTGGTTAATTATCCCAAGCTTTTGATCTCATAATCCACCCTTCGATTAATGAACTTCTGTGTTATAGACTTTAAGGACGCATACACGACTGCGTTATACACTCTCTACCGCAATCGAATTACTCTATTGTTAGACACATCTGTTACATAAAAATCGATTCAAATTACGTATAATTATTAGCGCAATCTCACAATAATAAGTTTTTCCTTACACGGTGCAAAATCTTTGATTTGCACAACTATATCTATTACCGTTTCTTACGTCACAAAGTTTTGTATGCATTTATTCATTTAGTTATTATATTTATTTGGATGTTACTTAATAAAATATAATAATAGAATTCTTATGGAATAACGTACGTGCGTGCTTATTTGTAAATAAAGAAACGGTATAATAAAAATTGATCCAATGAACGGACGACGAAACATTTCAAAATAAAGGATATTGATTTCAAATCTATCGTTCTATTCCTATGTCATTCGTAAGTTTTTACGAGGGAAATGTCTGACAAAGTTAGTAATAACTTGAGAGATTTAACGCAAAAAAATATACAGCAGATTTTAAGATAATAGATAAAAGTCTGTTTTAAACTTAATACTTACAGAAATTGTGAAACTGTCGCCGTTTAATTGACCCCAGCAACACAGCTCACAACACAACTTTTTCCTCTTTCTATCAGCCTGAACACTTGCACTGACTTCCGATTAATTATCGAAAATTTAACATTGGATATACTTGAAAATGGTAACAAAATTCATCCCCATTAGTCACGGTGTGCGCTCTTCATACAGTTCTTAACAATTGTTCAGATTTATCACGAACGATTTCAAATCGCGTCGAATTAGTGTCGTCGATTTCAAAAGACTTCATCTTCATTGCAGAAAGGAACCTTTCGCGATGATTTGGTGTCGGACACTTCGGTAATTAGCTTTACATAATCTTGACTGTCCGACGGCATCGTCAAGAGATTCGTTATTTCGATGCACTCGTTTCACACATTACATGTTAATAATCACCAACATCCCGTTTATTAAACTAGTCCTTCCGTTTCATGCTTCATTTGCCCGTAATCATCGAAATGTATATCTAGAATTTTTCTGACGAGATAACTAATTATAATCTGAAAGTTCAGTCTCTCGAAGGATCATTTTATATCGAGAGGGGCGTTTTTTGAACATTATTATTAGTGAAATCCTTATCCACCGAAGTATGTTTCGCACTATCGATCCCAAGATTGATTCTCTCCCCTTGCTCGGCTTCTCTGTACAATTGGACAAATTTGATCTGAAAGTTTTTAATCTTGAAACAGTGTCCAGTCGATTCACTGATTTCTGGTCAACGTCACATCCGACACACGACTCGGATCACTTCCGCAAGTATTCCCAATAACAGCTCGGAATCGGCGAATCCGACGATTTCCGATGGGATGAATCGTGGATGGATCGCGGCGACGACCCCGAGGCGACGATTGAAAACGCCGTTCGCCGCTGGTGAGGATGACGTGTGTGCGCCGCTTGCTAGCGAGCCGCGAGAAGGTTCCAGCTGCGCCGTGAAGGGTGAAGGGCGAGGGAACGGGAGAAAGCTTAGCAGCAACCACCACTGGCGTGGGCGGTACGATGGGCGGGGCGATACGATGGCCCATCCTCGTTGCTCGACCGGCGTTATCCCATAAAATTTTTCATCCCCGCATTTCTCGTCCCACCGTGTTCGCTCTTTCCCACTTTTACCTATCGCGGATGTCGCGGTGTTGCTATTTCGTTTCTGTCTGCCACGCGAGTTGCTCGAATTCGCGGTAGATAGGACGAGGTGCGACCGACATCAAAAGTGCAGACGAAGAATCGCTCTCCTCGCTTTTGAGTTCGACACTTTGCATCGATCCCCTTTCGGAGCTGTGAGGCGTCTGCTCCTTCTCGGTCTAATTCGTTCACCGCCACATCGACCACCACCGACCTATGTCGCTTTAAAAGCCAGATATCGGTGATATTCTCTCATGCATCGCTTTTTCCAATTTGTAATTTGTGATATCATGCTTTTTATCTTGGATCTTTAAATGATAGTGAAAAAAGGTAGATTACTTGCGTTTCCTGAAAAACAATTTTTTTCCCGCGGTACATTTGAAAATTGGTAACAGTTTTAATGTATCTTCTTGTCAAGTCTGTGTCTTCCAAAGTGATCTGACTTATCCAATTCGATAAATTTCTGATGACGAATGATTTTTAAATAAATTTTTCTAAAACGAGTGTTATAAAGTGTTCTAAATTATAGTGTTGTAGTGCTACACGTAAATATTTTGTATACAAGTTTTTTGACTTCTTTATAACCACTTTTTTTTAAATTATTCTTATTTATTTCTTGAAAGAAAGGAAGAAAAGAAACGCATAATCTTCGTTATAATCTACAACTTGTAATCATTCTTAGAACTGTAATATTTTGTTTCAGACATTGTCAAATATTATCTTTTCGGATTATCTTTATTTCAGAGTATCTACATGTCATTATGTATTATTGACGTCTTCCTTACATCTTTAAATTTTAATCATATTGTTGTCACAATTATATTTCCACGTTGTATTTATTTTAGGCCCGGTTTCACCAACGTCGTTTAACTTTAAGCTTAGTTTAATTCGTTCTCTGTCTCTTTCCAACTGTTACTTTAGAAAGAGGAAAGCACGAATTAAACTAAGAGTAAAGTTAAGCGACGTTTGGTGAAACCGGGCCTTAGTGTATTTTTTTGCGAGTATTATTTAAAATGCTTTAATATACGCGAAAAAAATGCTGTTGAATTAAAACAACAAAGTTGCTTGAGTTAAACTTTAACGTCGCGGACTGCCACAGACATAAATAATTCACTCAATTGTATTTGCTGTGGATTTTTATTTTAAGCACACAACTAAATATGCAGATTATTAGGACAACTATCTAATGTTTTTCATTCATTGATGTTGTTTCAACGATTTTATTTCAATCGCACCGATCTTGTCGATACATCTTTTTTCCCGTGTGGGTATCTTTTTAAGTTTGCAATTCTTTAAACAATTGATGCATACCATATCGATTTGTTATGAATAAATAATAACCTCGTACATAATAAGTGTTGGACGCAATATAAAAATACACACACTTTTAACGCAACATATTTTATAGACCTAATAATATATTTCTACATATTACATCATTCCAAAGCGTATCGACGTTATTACAAGCTCTCGTGAAATAATTTGGTTTTGTTTTAAGTTTAGAAAGAAAAACACAGAGTTTCAAGTTTCATAATCATTTCAACCGCGTCAGGTCACGCACAATTACGATAATATTTCTCCCGTTTTATATCAACCAATTTATACTTTGTGTACGCGAGGCTGTAGAATGATCCCTGTACCAACCATTTGCCAGCATTAACAGGCCGAATTAAGGCACCAGGCAGATGTATGCGGGAAATACCGGGATGAAAAAAATGGCCGGCACCTGGACGGACGTGAAAATCCAATTTTCTCCCGCAAAAACACGTGCAAAATGGCGCTGCAGTTACGGCGCTTGCTATCACACCCGCGCGACCTCGGCGCTTATTAAAAAAGTATTTATTTAGAAATATCCGACGCGAAAGGTAAAAGCGCCGGCGGTGAAATGCATTGTAAAGGCACCTCGTGAGAGGGGTGAGTTGCATCGGCCGCTCGCAAGGACTGTCGAACGAGAAGGACGTAAGAGAGAGAGGGTTCGCGAGAAAGGAGGGAGGGGGGGGGGGAGGGAGTACATGGGATTTCGACCTCGCGAAAGATCGACGAATGGGGTGGCGAATGAATACCTAGTATGGATTCGCCGGGAGCCAATAGCGGTGCGTGATGTCCTCCCTCGTTCGAGAGAGAAACGCCAATCGGGTGTTCTCGCCGTTGGCGTAACTCTCGGCAAGAAGAATGGTGAGGGATGAGAGGAGGGGAGGGGTGAAGGAGATAGGGGTGGTGCGACGGCTCGACGGCTCTACCTGCCTGCCTGGCTGATAAAGACAGACAGACTCCCCTGTCTTCCGTGCCAGATCATACCAGCTTTTGCTAAGACGGCGACCCCGGTGTGCGGCACAACCACACCTCTACTACCGTCTCGGTAGCCACCTCCGCCGCTCACTTACACCCACTTTACCAGCAACGCCGCGATGCGCTTCGACGCCTTTCTTCGGATTATACCGTTGCCCTTTAAACATCGTCTCACCTCGCCTCGCTCCTTCCACCGGTATCAATGCGCCTCGCTCGCGTAATTAACTGAAGAGGAACACAAATTACGTGTTCAAATTCCACCGATAGGTACGTCTTCATCGCGATGTAGATTCAAACGTACCCGAATCTCAAATGGTCTTGAAGACGACGTCGAATGACTGTTTCAGAACATTGCTTCCCAACATTTCGATTTATATATATCTATATACGCGTTGTCTCTATATAATATATAAAACTTGTAATCCTCTCCCTTTTCATTTACATCCAGATTTTGTATCGTTTATTTTATCTTTTGCTCTTGGACGGCTCTATTGACTCCGTACATTTACATATATGTACACGTAATCTTATTGTCCTTATGGAGAAAGTCGCACATTCTTCTTCCATTAAACTTTATGTGAGGAGTACATGTTAGGTTTCATGTTTGTTCAATCGAATATTTGATTGAAATACTTGTTCGTCAATAATTTTGCACAAATTGATCTTACCACACTCGCAAGTTCGATTGACGAATCTCAAACTGAAAATTCGATTGAGCTCTAAAATGTGACGGCCGGTAAGACTTAATTCGTTGTTTACCGTGCGACACGGGTTTAGCGTTGGCGCACGTGTCACGCCATATGACGAACGTGTATATCACAGTGTCGCACGCAAGCACTTATGCGACACTCGAGAGAGTTCAGGCTCAAACATTGACGCGAAGCACATGTCAATACAATATCTCAACGATTGGTCAAGACAAAACTTTTATTAATTGATTGAGACAAGATAAAAAGAGAAAGAGGAAGAGTGCGTTATTACTTATACGCTTTATTTATAGTTATTGTAATTTGCAATTTAATTAAAAATAATTAAGTATTTATTTAATAAAAAGAAGCCACGATCCAATTTTTTTTGCACAAAATGATTGAGGATATTTCGCAAATATATGCTTTTACAGTAATGTAAAACTCTGTATACCTTATAAGATATAAATTGTCCGCATTTCGTACAACACTTAAATTCGTATTTACTATAAATAAAATGTTTTAGATAATTTATTATCAATTTTTTTATTTCTTACTTCTAATTTTTGTATATAAGTCTCTCTCTCTCTCTCTCTCTCTCTCTCTCTCTCTCTCTCTCTCTCTCTCTCTCTCTCTCTAATTAAATTGCTTTGCATTTCATACTGCTGTTAAAAAAATTGCTATCCATAGTAAGAATCGCACGGAATCTTTTTTCCAATGTCAATATGAACCAACACTCGACAACCCAAAATATCCGGCCGGATGAAAAACAGACCACTATGACAATCGCGCTGCCACTCTATCAAATTCATTTACGAGTATGTACATTCGCGCAACGTAGTCTAGCGCAGAGAAGCGATGTTTCATTGCCGAACGCGTGTGTCTAAAAATAAAGAAAGCACAGCTCTTCGTTATAGTCGAGTAATCTCGTTTCCATCACTTCGCAAAGTGGAAACTTTGCACCGTTGATCCGAGCCATTACGTCCTCTTCGCTCATATATAACTGCCCCTCTCTTCCCGCGCCCATAAGTTTCTTCGTAGGAAGGGGAGCTACGACGGACAATATATCAGTTTACAATGATAAAAAGCAAACACAGGAAATAACGCGAGGAATTACTGAACCAAACAATATGTCCCCTGTCTCTGGAGAGACAGGGTGTATTTCGAGCGGGCGCTGTCCGCGCCCCGGCTAGCAGCATCCGACGGAGGGTGCGCCGCGCGTATTTTCCTCACAATACGGCCACGACCGTTTTATTTTGCGTAGGGGGCGATATCACGTCGGCGACATTGAAAATTGTCTCATTATCGCGTGCTAAAACGATTCGATAGCATAACGCGGACGCCTCATTAAAACGCCACTCGTTTCGCGCGATAATTAAAAGCACGCTCGAAATTTTCAAATGGACAACAAAAATTTCTACTTTATCGCCCGAACAATTATTCCATTTTATCTATTATAATGCTCCAATTTAATTAAAGAGATGATGTTCAACTGAAGGCGTTCATATTTGGATTAATTTTTACCTGTGTTACCTGACCTGAAAATAGGTGTAGACGTTTTATTCGAAAGCTCACTTTAAGTTAGGGTATAGATTAGGTCGCGCGAACAAAACACGGTGTAAACTTGGCCGTTATGTACGAAGGATAGATAAAATAATATGATGGACACCTAAATAGGAAATGCACTACTTGTTTTATTTGCAAGAGATTATTATTTGTCCTTATAGAGATTCTAATCCGGATTCTATCCTTGTTGAAGTTACACAATGTTTGAATAGTCACCAGAGTGCAATGT